AACATGATGCGAACACTCCGTCATTACTGTCTTCATAAATGGACTTGGGCCGATAACATAACTCAGGCAATAATAAGTAGTTATTTTCCCTCTGGGCGGAAATGTCAGTAAGTGATCTGAAAACATGAGCAGCTCTCGACTGCTGAAGCTCCCAGGAGATATGTGGTTGTCACACGTGTGCAGAACAACATGCTTAAACACTCGACGCCCAGCACTTCTCTCTTTCTTCTGGCGTCTCAAAAGAAGAAGAAACTGTTTTGAGTTAGATGATAACTTTAGCCAGCCAAACGTCTTGTCTCTATTTTCATATGTTTCACAGGATTTTTTCCTTCTGCATTTTCCCTTTATGACTCCTGTCAGCTGGCTGAGGTGAAGAATCTCATGTAGTACTTAATTAGATAATGAGTGTAGGCCCAACATCCACCTAAAAACAAGCCAAAGAAGCAATTAGCATCAAAAACATTTAAAAAGAAATTTCTCTACCAAGTCTTTCTAGCTTAAAGTAGAAGGCAATGCTGTCTTTGGCTATTTTAGGGCATGGCAAGGAAGTTGCCAGCACAAGGTGACATCATCACCATCAACAGTTGCTTATTTACTCATCCAGAATCTATCTGGAATCATCTTTCTGGATACCTGTCAAATGCAAGTCCAATATTTCTAGTCTCAACCAAATCCTGAGGGAAATATCTGCTTATTTAGCAGCTAAATGCTCCCCTGTGTTCACCAGCTAGTTTCTAAAGCTGCTTTCAGTGAACTTGGGACATTTTCCTGAAATTCTTCAGAGGGTCTTGGATGGTATGCAAGAACTCGAATGTCAGTTGAAAAGAATACAAATATCCCCAAAAACGGCTTAACTGTGTGCTTGTGTGCTGTTTGGTGCTGAGCAGGAAAAGTTGAGTGCAGCAGTGGATTCAGATGAAACATTTCTATAGGTCCATAAATACGATCAACTCCTTTCACATCGTCAAAAAATATTGATCATGGCACCTAAATGTTATGTTATGTATGAACATAAGTACAAAGTCACATAAATATTTTTTCCAAGTCTGCTGCAGAAAAAGAATAAAGAAAAAACCCAGCTATCACATTTCTCCATGACGCATTAGGCAAAACCATTTAGCTACATATTTTTGGGAAAACGGATGACTGATGCAACTGTTAATGCAATGCTAAGGCTAAATCGGCTGTGCTATTAAGGTCAGCCAAAAAAGAGTGTGCTCCTCTGTCTTGCTGCTATAGAGTCATAGTCATGTTGAAACTGGTGGGATTTAAGATAAGAGGCTAAAGAAAGGGCTCCTGTGCACAGATGCTCATGATCTGGAAAACCCCTTTGCACAGAATTTTTGGAAAACAGTGATGGTCTCACCGGAAACACCCACATTTTGTGTAATAAAGAAATCCTTGCTCAGGTTTTTAACTCTATTATGAACTCTTTTTTCCCTTCTCTCCTCCTCCTCATCCGCCTCCTCTCCTTCCTGCTGTCTTGGAAGAACAGAAGGAGAAGTGAAGTCCGACTTGGCAGCTGGAGCGTCTCTCCATCGTCCTACTTCTCTCTCTGTCTGTCGGTTATCTCTGCACTTCTCTTTCCCAGATTGAAGGCCTGAGCTTGATATAAACAGTCTGTCCTGCAGCCTCCTCCATAGTGTTTGTCTTTCACGTGCAAATTCTGCCTGTCTGCGCAGAGCCTCCATATCACACTGTGAGCCAAAGAGACGACTATTTCCAGAGTGTAATGGGACTGTAGGGAATCTTACAGAGGCCCTGCTAAAAGTTTCTGGAGGCCTCTTCAAACTTTACAGCTTCACAGCTGAGTAGCTTTCTTTACCTCCAGCCTCATGGCGTTTTATATTAGGGCTACAGTTCAAACAGCATGGAATTTATTCATTAGTCACTATCTTTGCATGAGCAGGTCGATTAATTTCACAGCTAAGCATTGGAGTTCAAATTTTGACTTGATGCTGACGCTCATGGAAAAGTTAGATCATCACTTAAGTTGTTCCAAAAAAAAGAAAAGTGCTAATCCATGGCAAAGATTTATAAAATACATAAAAACAAAGCAACAAACTGGTGTTCATCAGAGTTACTAACCTGACCAGAAGAAAGAAAAAGACATATATAGGCCTGGCCGATATCAGGAAGTGACATTGTAGCTCATCATACATAGTGCAGGTCATTCAAATTTGAGAAAAAATAACCACAATTACATTGCAATGTCTGATCCTGCAAGTATGCACAGATTTATTTATACACAGAGACACAAATCAAGCTACAGGAAGGCAGAATAATCAATTATGTCAGCAAGACCAGATGGGATAAGTTGGAAAATCCAAAAGTATCTTGTTATATGAGGTGTTTGAGACGATACTGCTAAATTTAATGGAAAACCATATTATTGTTGAGATATTTCAGTTTGGTATTTCAGTCCATCACTTTGATGGACTGACTGACTGGTTTTGACCATCACCTGAGCTACGCTGCCTTCTTGGCTAAAAATAAGCAGAAATGTGTGTTTTCTTTGGTTCATGGGACTTCATCATTGGACCCCTGAGATTTGTATCTTCTTTACCCCGACTGCCAGGTTTGGAATCCAGGTTTATTAGACTCACTTTCCACTATGGGGTTTCTAAGAGGAATTTTATAGGGTTGTAAACGGCTCTATCCAGCACTCAGGCTGTACTGCGATTATTCGTGCACGCTGGTAGGGAAATGCGACATTGTGCTGATACTGGCATCGCTGCCGTCTCAACAGATCTGACTGTACACCTAGCAAACATAAAATTCTTCAGGGCTTAGTTTGGCCGCACACATGCAGCCTTCTTGACTTCAGAGCTGTTATTGTGTAACAGTTGAATCCTTGGTTGATTAGGAAAGATCTTGTCTAGACAAAGTTTAGGATTATCATGAACACTGCGTACAACAAGACTGACAGACAAACCAGTGTTTTGTTGGAGTGGAAACGACACATGAGGTGAGGTCAGCAAGCATAATGAAAAACCACCTCTGCTCACTGTCACGCTTGTAATTGAGGCAAAATAAAATAAACACGGGACCCTGCTGCCAAGACCACTTTACTATTTTGTCTCAGGATATGATGGCACGTGATGATGGCCCCTCGACTAAACCAATCAGAGGCTGGGTTTTACCACCAAGTGGAAGAGGAAGCATTTTCTTTGAGAGTGAAATTTGGCAAACGCAGCACTCGCTCATGAATAAGTGACTGTGACGGGTGGGTTCTGTGAAGAGACGGTTGTTTCAAAGGGATTGTGTTATAGAGGCTTTGAAGATTCAAACAGCCGTGTTTGATGTAACCTCTGATTTTTGTTGTAATTTTCATAAAGGAGATGTTGTGGATGTCTCTTCTCTGATGAAGGCTTACAACAAGGGACTGCAGCAGACTTGGAAAATGTAATTTCTTTGAGGTGAACAAATATGCAAAGAAAAAACATGCAAAATGGAAACATGAAAAATTGACTCCCTGTTAAGGAATGTGACACTGCCCCTATTACTGCACTGACGGCAAGGCACTGTTTGTTCAAATGTAATTGATATTGAACGTATCGTGTGTCCAAATTCAACACTGTACTTTCTTAGGCCCTCAGAAAAAAATTGTCCACGTGTAAAGCCGATAATTACATTTTTCGAGATATCATGGTGTAGCTGCCGCACTTAACCCAGGACATACAGTATCTCAGCATCTCCTGGATGGATTATTCTATTCTTATTTATCCCCTGGAATTTTCTCTGATGTCATCTTGAGTGAATCCACTGCCATAGGATTGATTGACATGTGTTGAGCTACAGACATTCATGTCCCCACACAAGATGATTTGTGTTATTATTTTATCAATAATCATCAGGTCAGAATTTTACCCGTCTAATACCTGTAAAACTGTAAAATATTTTCAGAAGCATCGATTTTAGTGCTAATAGCAAATGCTAAATCACTAAACTAAGGTGAAAATGATGATATAAGTATAAAATGAGAGCAGTATCAAGAGAACTTTAATGCAATGTGTTTAAGTCAGAAACATATCATTGGCACCTCAACTGAACTTTTGTAGAGGTGGAATCGAAAGAGAATAGCGCATCTAACAGTTTGATTTGGGGGTTAACTAAAACATGTTGTTTTGTTTGGCTGAATGTTGAATTCCAGCGTTTAACATTTGTTTCCTGACAAAATAAAGATATAAATCAAACTGTTTTTTAGGCTTGTTTGAAATCAATGTGATTAAAGACAGAATCATGAGGCGAACAGGAAACTACCTAAATCTTGTTAGTCTATTAATATGAAGGGAGAGGGTGACCATTAATATGAAGCTTTTGGACTGGTCATATTAGAACATAAAAAACAAATGTGATTTCTTACTCCAGCGTATTTATTTGGTTGCAGTGTATTATTGGTCATTCCTTAGTCACTACTTTTGTAAAGGTATAGTTTGTAAAATGGCACATTCATAGTTTGTAGTTGTGAAGAAGAAACCTCAGTTTTTGGTAAAAATAACTCACTAAATTGAACTATAGTGTTAACTTGAGACCTGAGTGCTGCTACTCCAGCCTCATTTAAGTTGCAGCGGATGCTGTTGAGGTGATTTTACTGATTTTACTGATTTTAATATGAGTGGAGTCCTCAGTGTTGTAGACCCAATGGGAAATGCAGTCCAAAACCCAATCCCCATTGTCATAAATATTCTCAAGGCTCTGTGAAGTGAGGATGGGCCTGATTTCATTAGGAGGGCTGATTGTTTGAGTTGGAATGAATATCTACACAAAGGTAATTGGATAAAAAGAAGCGACAAGACGAGAGGAGGTGCATGGAGATCCAGTCAGACCAGACTGGGTGGTTGCAGTAGGAGGAATGTGGGCCATTTCCATCCTGCTATACTGTCACCTGTCAAGAGGCAGAAACTGTCAGAGGCTTTCTGTGTGTGCGCTCATGCTTTGTCTGTGTCTGCATACTTGAGAGCTGTGAGTAGGTGTAACACCATGGGGAAAAAACAATTACTACACACCTACCAGCCACAATTGCAGCTTACATGAGAAGGAATCAGGCTGCAGACAGCCACAGCACTGACACTCACAGTACTGACCATCATCTGGACACACGGCAGTGATCATGGGAACTGGAGTGAGGAAACGGAGATGTGGTATGTAATTTATTTAGGAAAGGATTATGTTGGATCGGATGTAGTTGTCTTATATTTTCACCTGTGAAGCATCATGTTGTATGTGCAGAGTCAATACACTGAAGTGAATGTAAACACCAAGTCCATCAGAGGTTTATTTGTCAGTGTGTCACTGACTCTGACACACTGACTTTCTTGCATCACTCTTAACTCAGCTGGGTTGCACACATTTGCAGCAGCAGCCTCACCACAGACATAGTGTTGTGAACTTGCGTAAGTGCTCCCTAATTAGCCTGTGGTGGAAACGGTCTCAGCCTGTTTAAGTAGTTGCTATTGTTACGGGAAGACAGGTCCTAATCACAGCAGACATCCCCTCCATTGTCCCTCTTTGAGCCTGGTGAAAGTCAGGAAGTGTTTCACTGACTTTGTTGACTCTTGGTTTTTCTTGTGTGGAGTTTTTAGCTGGAAATGAGATTTACTCTCAATTGATTGATTGGTGTAATGTTTTGTAATGTAGTTTTAGCTAATTAGCTACAAATCTGCCATGGTTGTATGCAAGATCTATACAGTGTTTGAGTATCTCTTTAAGAAATAGTCTTTTTTGAATCAAAAATTATTGGAACTGTCTATTGCTCAAATAGCTCCAACTCAGAGAATGTACTGTATATAATAGATGGCAGACTGCTGTATAGGCCATAAATCCCTACCTCCTCCATGTTAGGGGATAGGACATGGACCAAACTGAAATGTGAAAGTACACATCAAATACATTTTACTCAAAGATGGTTTCTGTCATTTTAGGTAGTTCTTTCCACACTTACACTGTTTGTGTTGTTAATCAGTTATTTGATGTTGATTCAAAAGGTCATGATTGACAGCTGAGTTTGATTGGTGGAGCACGTGTATCGACAGAACATCACTAATGTGGCTCTATCCCAGCAGTCACTGCTGCACAGACTCCAAACGTGCAAGATGGCCGCGTTAGTGTCCTGGATATTTTGGTTTGACTTCTGGTTAGTATGAAGTGGAGACGTGTCAGCCATCGTTATACACTTATTTATTTAACTGACTCTTTTGAGTTACTGCTTTATTGTATAGGTCTCTAAATTCAGATTATTTTTCTAAAACACCTACAAGGAAGTTTCCACGAAAGAATCGTACTGTGCTAATTCATTTTAAATGTTCAGCTAACCCAACTTTTAGTCAGAGGATAGCAGGTGAGCTAAACATTCAAATGTTAAACTCCCTTTTTTTCCTGTATTTACCCAGCTCCAAGATTCTCTCCAGGAAACTTCGAGTAAATTATTCATAACAGACCTGAAAAATAAAGTGTTACCAAATTCTGACGCCAGAGTGTCTTTGAATGCATCGCTAATGAGAGCTTGCAAGTCCTTATTCAAAGCTTCAAACGTAATTAGAGCTTAATCAAAAACTAAAGGATAGATTTGCTGTGATAGGTAATGTGATAGGTATCTCATGCTAGAGTCTGCAAGCTGACAAGGAGACGCAGGTCCATGTGCTCTGCTGCCCTGGATCCTCGAAAGTTGTGACTGTAATTTACTCATCTACATTTGCGTTCTAACAACAGAGACTAGTCGGTCAAATGAATTGGATCCTAATCTATCCTTAATCTCCACAAGCATCAGACGGTGAAATGTCTCAGGACTGATCTCGCCTTTCTTGGATTCACATACTAAGTGGAAGGAGGAACAGGCCAGTGATGTATTATTCAAAAGTAGTGCTCAGTTATCAGTGAGTACAGGGTCAGCGCTGCTACTAACACAACATCCAACAACTCAGCTGTTGACTTAGTTTGTGTGTCTTTGTAGTCACCAAGACAGTGTTCACTGGTGCCAACAAAGAACACCATTTAGATTATATAAGTGTAATGATGGATTATGGGTGGACCTGAAACCCAGCCACTGTTTTCAGCATTTGCTCGTGATCTCTTTTCCTTTTTATGATCCCTATTGTTTGTCTATATCAGGCCAAGTCACAAGTTACATTTAGAACGGAGTAATAGTAGCTAATAATGCTTTTTATCAACTGTGAGCAGATCTGACAATGACCCAATTACTATAAAACCAAAGAGGGATTTCTTTTCTCTTATAAAGTCAGCAGGAGGAGATTGTGTGGGTCAGATTCATTCAGAACAACATGATAATATTTGTAGCATTCAGGGGAGGAGTCGCATCTGGGTAGATTATCCAGGAGGCAGGACACATAAATTCTGCTGCTTGAAATTGTGTCTTTTTGTTTGCAGCACATCGACACTGGTGTCGGCTCTTAAAAAATAATTTGGTCTTTCCAAGTTGAAATGATGATGATGTTGTTATTGACCAGGCTGCTTACAGTTCTAGTAATAAGTGAGATTTGAAAAGGGAGTGCTTTGAAAAGTCTGAACCTTGTGTCTCTCTAAGAACACATGGTCAGTCACCCATGCATGCTTGAGGACCTTTGGGGGAGGGAAAGGCAGTTATAATGATGTATAGATTATTAATGGAACAGCAGCCCCCTAAGTCATCATATGAAAAGGCTGAGTGGTGTTGCATTGATAATAATTGATAATGTGGCTGTGCCTGGGGCTGAGCATGACATCTTTGTATATAACCTAATATGGATCTTTTTTTCAAGGAGAGCAACTCTCTATGGAAATATACACTTTCATGTTTTAATGGATCATATGTCCAGTCAGTAGTAGTAGCCCTCACAATCATTCCAGGTAACTCTGAGTACACAGCAGGGGAACTGTGACCCGAAACAGATTCCGTCTCCTCAGACAATTTGTCCCATTCTCCAGATCAAGCCGAGCTCTTTCAGCCGGAGTAGGAGTGATGGAGTGTTTTGCGCATTACAGACGTAGGCTGCCTGCAGGGTCTCTTTGCTCCACAATTACTGCTTTATGAGGCTGCTTAACTGAAGCCAAGGAAAGAAAGCAAAGGAGGCAGAGAGTGTGAAGATGTCTTGTGGTGCTGGTATCTGTTCCTAAATCACTCGGGACTCTTGTCTTACTTTGCTGCTTGGCATTCACGGCATCCTTTAGCCTCCTTGTTTCTCTGACTCGCAGATGTGGTCTCTTCAAAACTTTTTTTTTCTCTTTGTATCCTCTTCAGCCTCACAGACTGTTCACAAGGAGTCTAAAAGTCTGCAGAACCCTGAGGCCACCTCTGCTGCACACAGAGCTGTTCACTTGTTTATTCAAAAACAAACAAGGCATATTTAGAACTGGCACTGCACTAGCATGGATAAAATCAATTGCACATATGTAAATGGAAGCTTATCCTTGTATTAAAAGCATTTACAATCCACAATTTCATAACAAACAAACTGTGGAAAATACTTTTTACATTTTGGCTATGATGGTTTCCATCATGAAATTGTTGTCAAACCAGTGGAAACTACTACTTTTGATTAATCCTGACAAATTAAGGATATTTAGCATCGAACAGACTTTGCACCTCTGCATGATCATTTAAAAAGTTGTGTTCTCTTCATATAAATGTTTTCACACGCTACTCCTCTCTCTGTGATCTTTGTTTCGTCTTTGCATCGTCTTGTTGAAGTTTGAAGACCATGCCTCTCTCTCACACACACACACCAATGCTCACACTGTTAAAAAAGACATCTACAACCATCTGGATCCCCGCTCTCTTGACTGGCTGCTCGTCTGTGATAACACGCGCTCTGTGCCCTCAGAACATAATAACCTAATGATCCATGCTTCTTCTGTCACTTTGTCTCACAGAGCAAGACGGGGCAGAGGGATTGATCCGGGGAGTGTGGGAGAGAGATGCAGCAGATAGATAAAGAGGAGAAGAAATGACTTGATTTAACTAGTACTACTTTTCTGTTTTCATTATTTATAGTCGGGGAAGAAAAAAAAGTCTGAATTGCAAAGCTGCTTAGCGGTATGATTCAGTTGGGGGATTTGAATCTGCTTTCACCCCCACTTCAAGCACTGGGGTGTAGGCGGACAAAGAGAGAGATAGAGGGGGAGTGTGTTCATGTGTATGTGTGTGAGAGAGACAGCGTAGGAGCTCCATGTGAAAATGACCTACTTCCTGTCAGCTCACTCTCAAATGGATTGCTGTTTTCTGATGTGTGGAGGAAAGTGGGGGAGGTCCTCTGACGGGTATGGGGGGGGAGAGGTTGACGTGGCTCGGGTAAATGAAGGATAAGTAGGTGGCTCTTGGGAGACGCTCGGTGTAGAATAAAATACATGTCATGCGTGTGAAGTGTAAATTGTGTATGCATACAGTGGGTCGTGTGTACTCACCTGTGCATACAGTGTGTGTGAGCTCATGCAGTAAAACCTACGTGTTGTGTGATGTGCTGTGCTCTCTCTGCAGTTTTAATTACCTCAAATGAGGGCTCGACAAGAGTTGACGATCAGAAAGCCAATATTTGAGGGGGCGGGTCACGCCAGATGCTCAGTGGTCTGTGTGTGCGTGTGTGTGCGTGTGTTTGCGTGTCAAACACACAGGATGTTATTCATGGAAGTCATCTGCTTTTCAACAGGGAATTTTCTGCGGTTTTAATTTGGTTTGAAAGAAAATTCTCGTGAGAAAGTTCCTTCCCTTTATGTGGCTGTTTTTTATGATCTGCTCCCACCACCTGCCGTAACACTGTTTACACTCCTTGGCCCCTTTATTAGATACACCTGTACAATCTACAGTGTTGCAGTGGTGCACAGGTTTCACAGTATGAAAGCTGATGGTTATCATACAACATACGAACTGAGAGTCATATCTGCACATCTCTCTTCCTCTTCAGCCGCCTGTTAGACCTTTGTTGCCACACACAAAGATGCGGCAGAGAAAATGGTAGAGTGTGGCGAAACTGATATCACCAGTCTCCACGAGGATTACTTTGGATATCCCAAAACAAATGTGTTTCGTTATTTAATACAATAAAGACAGGCACACACACATTTGACGTGAGACAAGCGTGTTATGTGTTAAGCTAGTGTTGTTTTTTTTTGCATCTGGACTATGACACTACAAGGGTACCAACTGCATGTGTCCCTCCAAGAAAACTCTAAGTGGACCAGAATGAAGTACAATAAGTCTGCACAGTTTGACACTACTTGGTGAACATAGTCGAGCAGCTGAAGGGCCAGTTATTTCCCTCAGGAGTTGGTACAACCACAAAGCACAAGAGCGAAAAGATTGTGAATACTCGACTCCCATTCGTCCAGGTGGTCCTTGAATTGCCAATAAAGCCAATCGAACTTCTTCCACAACTTCAGTCCAGATGTCATCATTTTCTGCCTTCGCCCCATGTTTTCATCCTCAGTGGTGTCTTATTTGACAGATATGAAAGGGGGAGTAACACATGGCCACAAATAAAGTTTAAGTTTTGCACTCCCAGGCTTCACAAACCTCTTTGCAGCATATCGTGTTTAATCCACGGTTTCAAAATAAAACAGCACCTCTGTCTGTTAGACTGTTAATTTAGGTCATGAGTAATGTCTTTGAGATAGATTCATTGAACAGGAATGCACTGTCAGGCTTAATCCCTCTCTCACACATATACTCTTTCATTTATCCCTCTCTCTGTATTTTCCAGTACCTGAGGACCTGTCTTTGGAGGAAAAAGATGAGCTGTCGAACATACGACGCAGGAAAAAAGAGCTGCTGGATGATATTGAAGTGAGTGACAGTCCACAAATTCGATTTTATTTATTCCAGCAGCGGACAGTTATTGGACATGATGGCTGGATTATCAAATTGTTCGAAATCAGTTATTATTGGCAAATTCTAAATCAATAGAACATGTTATTGAAGCTGCTGAATAATATTAAGTATATTGAACATACCTTGATTAATGTTTTTTCTCTGTGCATACATTACATACGTGCAAATTCTATCCTATCAGGCATTTCCCGTTGCCTCCCAACGATCCAGCGTCTAATAAAGGCAGAAATATGCTCTTACGATGATCCTATTAAAATTGTGTAATATTGATTTGAACCGCATCGTCCAACCCGACTGTAACTGTAAGGGAACATTTCGTCTGGATGCTCTTTGCTATTAAATCTTATGTAACCATCATCATCATCATCATCAAATTAGAATCATCCGAGTGTTTACTTGTTACTTCAGAGCTGCGTCTTGATCCACGTCATCCTCCTCCAATCACTGTCTTTTTATTAAAAGTAATAAAACACAAATTTAATTGTACAGAACAAGCGACTGACTTATTTTCCTGTTTTCTTCTCTGCAGCGGCTGAAGTTTGAGATTGCAGAGGTAATGACTGAGATTGAGCAGCTAACCTGTGTGGGGGAGAGGTGAGTTCCTTTCGGTTCCTTTTCCTGCATTCATTAATAAAAATGCAAATTGTTCATTCTAAGGCTGCAAATATCAACAAATATGTTTTTTGCTTATTTGATTTAATTAAATAACAGATGCTATTTCACTGACAGATGAGTTAGTTTACTAATGTTTGGTTGATAAAAGACTAAAGCAGTTATGTTTTATTATCAGTGGTGGGATGCTGCAAAGTACATTTAGTGCTATAAGACAAATTTCAGTTTGTGAATACGGGCTGTACAAATAAAATGTAATTGAATTTGATTGATTTAATTACTTGTTAATTTACTTCAGTACATTTTTCATGCATTTGTTCTTAAGTAGATTTATCGTACCACCATAGAGATTACTACTTAATTTTACTCAAGTTGAAAAGTTAATGTGGTACTTTTACTTATACTTGAGTATATTTTTGTCTCTTTGTACTGTTGAGTAAAATGTTTGAGTACTTCCTCCAACAGTAACTCTTATGTACGACGTATATAGTTGTTTATTTCTTTTAATCTTCTGTCAATTGTCAAATCAGGTAATTGACTCATAGTTTCAGTTCTACTTCTATATATATATTGTTTCCTCCGTAACTCACACCTGTTGTTTGTGTGTGTGCCGTTGGTGTGTCAATCCCCTTTGTTTGAGGAGTGAAGTGGGACAGTCCTCTGACCAAACATGAGCCAAACGGTCTTGTTCTGTCTCTGTGTGTGTGTGTGTGTGTGTGTGTGTGTGTGTGTGTGTGTGTGCGTGCGTGCGTGTGCGTGTGCGCGAGGTGCAGGTGGCAAAGGGGCTCAGGCTATCTTGAGCACACAGGAAACATAGGGAGCATGAACAGACACACATAGGTAGAGATTTCCCTGTGGGGTGCATACAGAATGAGCACCAGGCTGCAGGTGCGTTACGATAAAGACAGTGATGCAGCACAGTTGAAAAAAAATCACGTGTTCATCAGGCTTAAGGTATTTTAAGTTTGTCTTCCACTTTTGTAAATAAACAAAGTCCCATCATCTTGGACGAACCATCACAAACTGACGTAGTGAACAAACACAGCAGCCTGAGGACAACACCACACCCTTAACAGTCATTTGATAAACTGTGTTTTTTCTCTGCAGCAAAACCACACAGAGAAACAAACAGATCGCCATGGGCAGGAAGAAGTTCAACATGGACCCTAAAAAGGTCAGGCCCCACCCTGAACTCCCAGAATCCATAAAACTGTTGAATGATGGTTTAAGGATTTGATTGGGCCTCTTGAATAAATGAATATCTCCAAGCCATCCGTCAGTGTTATTAATGGGGAACAGGACTGAAAGTGTGCGCTCTTTTTTTAACAGGGAATCCAGTTTCTTTTGGAGAATGATCTTCTGCAGAACACTCCAGAAGACATTGCACAGTTCCTCTACAAAGGCGAGGGGCTCAACAAAACAGTCATCGGGGACTACTTGGGAGAACGGTGAGCTCCACAGATTTCCCTCTGTTTTCCGTCCACCTTTCTTTTTTCCGCTCCCCATCTCTGTGTCGGATCGGCGCTGCATGTGCTCAGATGTGGGTATAAAGCCCCAGGAAATTGGTCGTCTGGATTTATGGACCAGAGCAGCGATGAGGGAGACTGTGCCAATAAAGTATCTGAGCAGACATGTGGTTCTTATCGAAGAAAAATCAATGAGGATAGGACAGTCAAAACAATGGGGATTTCAAGCTGCCTGGCTCAGCCCACATTGGGACTGTCTGTCTGTCTGAAACTGGTTCTGTGACCGAGCCGATTTAGTTTCTAACTTGGCCCCAAAAATGTGACACGGTCACTGTATTCTGCATATTTCTAGATAAGATGATTCCAGAGTCTGTTTCTGTTTGGGGAGAGTAATTAAAATAGTTGAATTTGTCTGTCCTCTCCTCCAGGGACGACTTCAACATCAAGGTCCTCCAGGCATTTGTGGAGCTTCATGAGTTTGCGGATCTCAACCTCGTACAGGCCTTAAGGTGAGTGAAAAGGAGACTGTGGAGCGAGTTACAGTCCAGTTTGAGATGATTTTAAGTCAATTAAAAGTAATAATGTTCTGATCCCATTGTTCCTTATACCTTATATATGTTTTAACTGCTGTAGAATACTAATCCTGTATGGCAGCGGTGATTGGTATCATGTGTCGTAATTGGCTACACTAGTGCCGCCCCTCGAAACTGACGTCTTGCATATAGTTTACTTTGCCATTTTACTTGTGGGACTATCCAGTTTGACAATCTGTTGAATTGCTGACATATTAACTTGCTCTGTCTAACAGCACAATACTGAAAGCTGCGAAGGAGTGATTTTATCTATGTGGTAGTAGATTACAGTAGATTTACAGCAACTAAGCATATAACAAAGAAACATCCTAAAAATATACCTGCACACATTTGATTGGTCAAAGCATTGAACTGTTGGATGACATCATATTGTGCTGTGGGAAAACTTGATCCAGGTTAAACTCTTTGCACCAACGCCTGTGCACAGGAATGAATCAGAGGCTGAAATCATGAAGCGCTAATGTCAGTTTTCAGGCTGGAATTATGGTTCTCCAAAGATACATGTAAACATCTCTGTGGGTACACGTAGAGAGGGGTGTTATAAGACGAGAGGCAAAACCTGCATGTCATGCTAGCTCATCTAACTCTTATCAGAAATTAAAAAGAAGAAACATGAATATAAAAGTCTCTAGAAATCACTAGCCGCTATTCTGTGTTCCCAAGAAAGGTAAAAGTTTTGTGTTGATACTATGATTTATAAATATAATGTCTAAAACCCCTCTCAGTTCATTTATTCAATCGGTTCTCGGACCGATTCCATTGTAGTACTTAGAGTACTTCACATTTACATCAAGATTTCACATGTCGTTGAATTTTTTTCTCGCTCTCTGTTCCTGCTGTTACAGGCAGTTTCTGTGGAGCTTCAGACTTCCTGGCGAAGCCCAGAAGATTGATCGTATGATGGAGGCATTTGCCTCCAGGTACTGCCAGTGCAATCCTGGCGTCTTCCAGTCCACAGGTACCACACACACACACACACACACAC